TGTCCACATCCCTGCCTTAGCTTAAGCTAAAGGGGCTGAAATTAAAATCTTGCTTAAACATACACCTAGCTGGTGTCTAATCTCTCCACTGCCATTGAAAGTCGAGTGAGTCACGTTAAGTTTCAATTTCCTTACTTGTAAAATAAAGTAATGATACCTAACATGGGACATTTAAGGTTGCCACATGGAATGTTCTAAGTAATAGGCTTAAAACAAAGTAGGGATTCCTAACTTAATTTTCCTGTATTCCTGAGTGTCCCGAAGCCCAAAAGTTGTGTGTATGTGTGCAGTTACTTAATTTCCCAGATTCCTTTTAGGCCTTTGTGGTGTTGAGAAAGACCATAAACCCCACACTCAGCAGCTGGGAGTCAGACTTGAGTATCCTGCTCCCCTTGCCCACCCAGTGCATGGACCCACTGAAGCACTGTATTCACTGTATTTATTGGCATGCAGCAAACGAGGGACTACTGGAAGACAGGCGGGTTCAAGGCATGGTCCCAGCACCTGAGGCTAAATGCCCTGGCTAACACGGGCTTCAGTTGTTCTCAGTCTTTGCAGGTAAAGTGGTGCGGGGGTCCTTTATGATGGAGGGTGACATTGGTCCCTGATGGGAGGTGGAGGAGGAGGCAGAGCTGAGGAACAGAAAGGACCAGAGTGAGGGGTAAGATGGCTCCTCCACCCCCTGCTTGTGACAGCCAGCTCCCAGCAGAGCCCAGATTGATTCCCAGAAACAAACAGCGCCCCCACCCCTGCCCCCAGTCTCTCCCAAACAGCCCCTTACTACCTTTCCAGGCAATTCCAGGAAGCTGGAGTCATGGGAGACATTGGCCAGAAAAGTCTTCAGCTTCACTTGCAAAGTCGCCGTTGGCCCTGAGAACCCAAAATTGCAACTTAGGACCCTGCAGTCAGGGCTCTGTTCCTTCAGGGTGCAGGTACCTCCTGACCCACACCTTGCATGATTCCTCCTTCAGGATGCCCCCCCCCCCCACTGTCGCTCTGATGCAGGGATTTGCCTGGATCCTAGGAAGCTCTGCCATCTTTCAGTGGCCAAGGAGTCCCTCCTCTTTCTCCATGTTCAAGACACTCAGATGGCCATCTTCCAGCCCCTACCTGTTGCATGGGAGCTGGTGAGGAGGGATAGGAGGAGGAAGAGGGGCAGTATGAGCCTCATTGTGGCCACCTCACTTCTCATCTGATGTCCCTGTGGTCTCTCAGTCCTTAACGGCAATGTGGGGGGAATAGGAGGAGGATCTGGGAACTGGATTTTCCAGTTCACCCTGTATGGCTTTCAGGACCCTGGAGTGGGCTCTTCATGGGGCTCTTGAGGAAAGGAGAGGGTAAGTCCCTTCTCTGGGTTTGTCCCTTGTTTTCATCCCTGTTAGCAAGTCTGTGGGGGAGGAAGGGAGCTGCTGGTCCTTTGAAGAGGAAAGCAGGGGTCAGGGAGGTGGCTCACCAGCAGGTGTCTGAGCCCCACCCAAGCCTGGGCTTCTTGGTGCTCTTTAGTGATTAATTATTAACTTCTATTAATAGTCATCATTACTGCCACTCAGGGACTCAGGAATGTAGGCCCAACAGGGAGGGGTAATTAAGTCAAGTTCCTTTGCCAGCTAAGGTGTCCTCTGTTTTAGCCTCTGGCTTTCCAAATGAGAAATCTAGAAAATGGGGACTTCCATCTTTGAACAGTTTAAATCTCCAACACATCTTAGATACTCAGGTGGAAATTGGAGTTTCTACCAATTATCCACCCTACCTTTGCCCACCCAGGCAAAGGAAATATATGTAGCTATTCCAAACCAAGGGCAAGCACTAGGACCCATGTGTAGAGGGAGTTTGGGTCCCAACTAGTTTACAACCCTTCTTCAAAATACAGGAAACTGGGCTGGGACGGTGGCTCAGTGATAGAGCGCTAGCCTTGCATGCATGAGGCCCTGGGTTCGATTCCTCAGCACCACATAAGCAAAAATTAAAAAGCCGGAAGTGGCGCTGTGGCTCAAGTGGTAGTGCACTAGCCTTGAGCTGCATAGCTGAGGGACAGCGCCCAGGCCCAGAGTACAGGCCCCATGACCGGACCCAAAAAAAAAAAAAAATACAGGAAACTAGCCAGGTACCAGTGGCGCACACCTGTAACCCTGGCTACTTAGGAGGCTGAGAGCTGAGGAGACCCCGATCTCCAATTAAGCACCAAAAAATAAAGGAGGGGGTGGGGGCTGGAAGCTTAGCTGTGGCGCAAGTGTTAGAGGTAGAGTGCTAGCCTTGAGGAGAAAAAAAAGTCTCGGGGACAGTGCCCAGGCTCTGAGTTCAAGCACTGGTATAAACACACACAAATCTAGGAAACTAAGGCCCATAGAGAATGACTTGTTAAGGTCACCCAGCAGGTTAATGGCAGAGAGATTAGAACACAGGTCATGCTCAACAGACTGACACCTAAGTCACATGAACTATGTGATCCTCAAGGGGACAGGCCCTGCATCTTCCTATTGCCTCTCTCCTATGGGTACCCTCAGGCAAAATGAGTGGGAGCAAGTGCAGAAGGATGTAGGCAGAGAGTACTAGGCACCTGGAGAGAAGCCAAAAGCAAGACCAAGAAAATGGAGGAAGAGACAATCCACAGGGAGACATTCAGGTACTCCCAGGCTTACTAAGGAGGGCAGCAGGATCCCAGTGGGAAGAAAACTGAACAAAAAGCAGCATACACAAGACGTATAAGTAGGAAGAGAAAAGGGGACACAGAGATTTTGGCGTACCTGGATCTTCCTAAGAGGAAAGATAAGAACCCTACTTTTTTCCAGGCTGATATTCCCCACTTTTTCTTTTTTTTCTTTTTTTTTTTGTTGGTCATGGGGCTTGAACTCTGGGCTTGGGCACTGTCCCTCAGCTCTTTAGCTCAAGGCGAGCGCTCTGCCACTTGAGCCACAGCACCACTTTCGATTTTCTAGTGGTTTATTGGAGATAAGAGTCTCACGGAGGGCTGGGAAGGTGGCTCACTGGTAGAGCGCTTGCCTTGCATGCATGAGGCCCTGGGTTCGATTTCTCAGTACCACATAAGCAAAAAGAAAAAAAGCCAGAAGTGGCTCTGTGGCTCAAGTGGTAGAGTGCTAGCCTTGAGC